ACACACACACACACACACACACACACACACACACACACACACACACACACACACACACGATACTGCCCCTTTGATTTCTCTGGGTTGAAGTAGTTACTATTAAAAAAGAATCCACCTTAAAATAAACATGTAAAATTTCAATGTTGGACCAGATTTACTCAGAAGAAATTTCTTGAACCTGAGGAGTAATAAGTATTGCTATTCTATCCAGTTCCCTGCTTGCTACAGGAAATCATGAGCAAGAGTATCCTTATTCAAAAGCATCCAACTAAAAGACTGCTAGAAAGAGAGGGTTTCATTCATTTCTTGGCAATTCACTCCATGGGTTTTCTACTTTGCCAATGATCAGAATGCTCCCACCGATGGGAGTGGATCTTTAGTGATTTCCCATCTTCCTGCCTTTCAATTTCTCTTACTGTCCTAGAGAATCTACAGTCCTATGGAGCAGTTACTGAAGTGGAGATAGAAGACTACAAGTTCAGGAAAAAGTCCTCCAGTCAGCCAGCAACCTTTCTCCTTTGGCTTGGAAATCTCTCAGGATCTAACCATGATCTTCACACTTTTACTTGAGGGCTTAGTTTGCATTTGTAGTAACTGCATTTGTAGAAGGATGGAGTCGGCCAGGGGAATAGAGTTCATCTCACAGTGATAGGGGCAAAAAACATGCTCACATTTTCTTTCAGAAAACTGCATCTATATGCAGAGGAGCCTTGTTCTGTTAGAAGTGGTGAACTACTAGCCAGGCTATTCTTCAGCTCTTGGATGCTTTAGTAGTACTCTGAATGTAATGATGAGAGAGCATCCTGAGAAAAATAGGAGAAATATCTAGAATAGTTTTCCAAACATCACACCCTTTAGGTCAGTTGGGCTAGATCCCCATCTCTCCCCATTATTTTGCAGATTGAGAATAACACGTGATGTAATCCAGGATTTGTGGTACACTACCTTCTATGGGGGATGAAAAGTGTATAATTTATTAGCTACATGCAGGATGTTCTGTTTGCTTCCTCAGCTCTGAATTCTGCTGGCTCTGTAATTTTAGCTTCTAAGATGCTCCAGGGAGCAACTCATAACAGCCAATTCATTGGATTTTCACAGGGTTCCAATTCTTGCCACTCAAGCCCAGGAGATATTGGAGAAGGGAGACTCCATGACAGAAGACAGCTGCACCCAATCTTTCCAGGTAAGATAGATTGGATAGGGGTTGCAGTCAGGAGTAGGTTCCAGCTTCTGTTACTGCTGATTCACTCAGGGGCGCACGATGTGTGCTTTGTGCGCATGCACAGTAGTAAAAAAAATTAACCCAAGATGGTGGCGCCCATGGCACCGCCGATAAAAATGGTTTGGGGGCGTGTCCAGCCGAGTTACTGAAGCGGTAGGAACCCACCTCTAGTTGCAGTAGAATCATCAGTCTGTTTTCAGTCATAAACTGTTGGCTGGGGACATGTGAGGGAAAGGCTGTCTCTGTCACAATAGAGTGTTTGCCAGGGTGTTGCGCATTCCTAACTTCTCTTTTTCTACCAGAATCGCCATGCTCCAATTCTGATCTCCCTTCTCTGCTCCCAGCTGGAAGTGAAACCTGAACAACTGGTGGAGATGGAACTGTGTTTAGTAGATACCCAACCCCCAGTAAGCACAGCTTTATTTTTTTATTTTTTTGCATTGCTATATACCGTATTTTTTGGAATATAAGACTCACCAAGATTGTGAAGAGGCAAATTAAAAAAAAAAGTTTTTGCAGACCTCCCAAAAATGGCCTGTTTTTTGCTCATTTCTGCCCTCCCCAGCCCCCAGGAGCACTCTGGAAGCCTCCTAAAGGCTATGCACAGCCATTTTGGTGAAGGAGTAGGGTTTCAGGAGGCCAAAAATGCTATATTCAGTATATACGACACACCCAGATTTTCACCCTCTTTTGAGGGGGAAAAGGTGCATCTTATACTCCGAAAAATATGGTAATGAGTTGGGGTGGATGTTCATTCAGGTGGCTTTGTTTAGACAGCCCTACATTTTGAAGGGCGAGTTGCAACAAAGATAAAATCATGTTCTTTTGTAATATAACTTGATTTTCTAGAAATACCATTAGGTGAGATTTGTCAGGAAGTTGAGATTTATTCCAGCTTCACATTCTCCTTTGTTTTCATTTATTTGCTCACACATAGGCAGTATGAGAGATACATAGACGAGGGTATACTAGGAAGGACAAAAACATTTCCCAAATTAGGGCGATGCAGCTGCCAAAAAGGTAACTGATGTTTGAGAAAGTATTAACAAGAACAAGAGTCCAGAGTATGAGAAATAATTCTTGTATTTTGCCTTCGTTATGCCTGCCTTGGTTATACTCCTTTTAGGGTGTTGTGTCCAGTTCTGAGCATTGCAATGCAATCAAAATGGACCTCAAACAATTGAAGACAAGAAAATGAGGGGCTTGGAAACCCAAGTCCTATGAGGAAAGTGTTATTTGTTTGATTATGAGATTTGTTCACTGTCTGAAATCTGAATAGATTCTAGGCAGGTTACAGAACTGGGTTAAGATTGAGAGGAAGTATAATAGCAGTCCATGGGGTTGCCAAATAAGATTTCTTTGTCATCTCTGAGGCCAAGACGAGAGCCATTGTGTTGAATCTGTAGGGATTTAAACTCACGTTAGATATTCTGAGAATTTCTTGACAATAGCAGTAGTCAGCTAGTGGGATGGGCTACCTCAGAAAGTGATGTGTTTCCCCTTAGCAGAGACAAGATAGCCATCAGGCCAAAGTGCTTTAGCAGCTCCTATAAGCAAGACATTAAACTAGATGTCCTCTAAGATCAATTGTATCATTCTATTTATTTATTTTTTTTTGCCCCCCGACTTCCCAATAGACACTGGGTGGTGCCTTCAATGAATTCATATTCTCTCCTCGACTGGATAACCTCCACAGCTGCTATTGTGCCCTGCAGGTAAGTAACTTAAGTGACGGGATATCAGGAGGCACTTCTGCTTTCTTGTTGCTGTGCTGCTAACTCAGCACCCAGGAAAGGGCTACACTGGAACGTACACCGTGTCACAGGTAGTTCTCTTGACTTACGACCATTCCTAGTTACTGAAGCAACTGACTTATGATGAGTTCTCGCAACTGTTGAAGCATCCCTGTGGGCATGTGATCAAAATGTGAACTAGCATGAATCTACTGTGTTTTCCCGAAAATAACATAGGGTTTTATTTTCTTTTGACCCCTGAAATAAGTGCTTAGCCTTATTTTCAGGGAGGTCTTATTATTTTTGAAGTGTAGGAAGCAGTGAGCATGGTCACCTCATGGCTGCTGCTGTGTTGCAATATTTTGGGGGAGGGCTTATTTTCACGGGAGGGTTTATTTTAGCACATGCACTCAAAAGCCCGATTGGGCTTATTACCCGGGGAGGTCTTATTTTTTGGGAAACGGTACTACGGTTTCAGCGTCCCAAAGTCACATGATCACCATTTGCTGCTGCCCCGGGAGCTTCTGGCAAGGAAAGTCAGTGTGGGGGGAAGTCAGATTTGCTTAATGATAGATTTGCTTGACCACAGTAAAAAGTTGTAAAATCTCTGAGCAATGGAAGTTCCCTCCCAGTTGTCATAAGTCAAGGACTACTTGTACATGCTGTTTGCTCTCCATGCATTGTCTGGTTTTCTGCTGTGCATTTCACCAGCCTTTAAATGAAAGTCACTTTGGAGGCCCATATGCACCAGCGTCTTCCTGCAGGTTGAGCTAAACAGGTGAGGTGAGGATCGTAAGCCAAACCCTCTGGTGACCCAAAAGTTCCTGGTGCTCAAGAGGGCTGTATGTGCTCCTATTTTGTGTTCCTGGCAGAAGTCTCAGCTCAATATGATCTTCCCTGAGCTTTAAAAAAATGGCTTTGCAGGTTCCATTCCTTGATTGCTACTTAGGAAAGCCATGTAGCCGAGATCACCTGTTTGGTACATAGATGTGTGTCGGGAAAGGGCTTGTTACCCTTCCATCACAAGACCTAATGACCATACGAAGCCCTTATAAGCAGAAGAACACCAATATTCCCTAAATTCCTCTGAAGATGGTACCTAGTTTGGTAACAAAATGTTCAGAAACCAACCCACAAGCCACCGTCATTCTCTCCCCGAGCTGCAGCTATTTGCCACTATTGCAGGACTTGTAATGCGGGATGGATTGGGAAACGACACTGTTGTTTTTAACTTGGCTTGATGCTTAAAGATAGACCGGATAGATAGATGCAGGGAACACAAGAGAGGAAAAATGTCTGTTCTGACCTAGGCTCCCTAAAAGCATGAAGCTGACTCCTCCTCCTGATAAAACCCCTTTTATTTAGTTTAAAGTGAATTCCTCTGCAGCAAAGTCCCAGCCAACAGTCTTTCAAGAGATTTCACAACTACAGATTTTATCAGGTTTGGAGAGCTGCCAGGCTGATATCTTCCAAATGCCACCCTGTAGCAGACAATACTTGGCAAGAATTCAGGAACAGATCTTCCCTCCAATGAATCGAACTAATTGTCTCCTGCAAACTCCTCTCCACTTTCGCTCCTCTTTATTCCCTATGGGAGGGGCCATTCACCATCCACCTGTGGCTTTACTTCCAAGTCAACTCTTGTTCCTTAACTGTTCCCTTCTCCTGGCAGCTCTGCACATGCGCATACTGGGAACAGACTCCAGTTGTTCTTCTGCCCCACTGATGTCTGACTCTGAAGGCAGCTGATAACTGTCAGACAACTCTGGCTCCATTTCTGCTCCAATGTAGAGCACTCGTCAGAGCTTCCCCAGACTCCAGGACTGGTCCATGTTCTTCCCCAACCGCCTCACTGTCCAAATTTTCTGCCAGATCCGCTGGCCGCTTGTGGGCTACAACAATGTCCTTCAGATAAACAGAGAAGGGGAAGGAATGGCACAAGGGAAGAGAAGCTACCTCCTGCAAGGCCCCTTCAGACTTAGTTTAATGAAGGAAGGCAAGATAACAGTGAAGATAACTCCTCCAACCAAAACATCCTGTTCCTCAATGCTGGGTCAATTGCCGATTAAAACATCTAATGCGCATATCGCTGAAGCCTGGCTGAACTGAGTTATTTTGTTAACACCCCCCCCCCCCTCATCCAGCTTTGTCTCCATGGTGTTGCGTGCTAGGACCTGACAGCAGGGAGGTAGAATATCAACTTCCCCTGCACCCAGGACAGATAACTGGTTTTGAGTATGTACTGCAGCTTTGAACGACCAGGAGAGTTTATGCACATTATTTGCTCTACTTTTCACAGTCTCCTTCTGAGCTCTGGAATGACCTTAGATGACCTATGCTTTCTGTTCTAGAGCACCTCTTAACAGAACATGTGTGCTTCAGATCCATGCATGGACCAAATGTACTTCGGCTGGGTCTGTGCACAGATGAAATGTATGGTTTGGTCCATGGAAGGCTCATCATGTACATCCAGACCTTACACATCCCCTGTACACAAAAAGATAGATCTGTTGGATCAGGCCAAGGCCCATCTTACTCTAGCAATCTTGTTTCTCTGCAGTACCCATAAGCGGGAGATGGCAACGTGCTCCTTGTCACTGCAGTATTCCTATTACGTTTGGAGGAATGCTGCTTTCAACCTGAGGGCCACATTGAGCCTCCCACTTTATTTGGCCTTCGCAATGAATTTTTCCAATCCTACTTATTTAAAACCAAGCTATTGGCCTAAAAGTTGAACCATAACAACTGGACCAATCATTGTTAATCTGAGATATTTCGTTTGATTGAACCTTCATTGACATATTGCAATGCATCTTGGGGAGAAGCCCTTGAAGGTGGTGTGGCAAGATTTGGTACATTCCAACGAGACACTGCCTAACTAATTTTGTTCTGACTGATGAAGTTGCTTGGATGAACAATGAAACAACTCCAATTAACCAAAATTGGTCCAGTTGCTATGATTCAAACTTTAGTGAAACCGTTGGCCTCGGTGATTGAGTCTTCGTTGACATTCAAATTAGTGGCCATTTTATGTGTTATGGTAATGATTAATTATGCCTTGTATGAAGAAGCGCTTCCACTCCGCTTTCTCAGATGGTCTATGGTCCTAATATTTTGAGGAAGGAAGACAGGACACACTCGCTATCTTCTCCCTGCCATGTTTTTTATAAAACCCAGCATGTTGCTTTTCTTCTCCAAGGCAAGAACTCTCCAATGTTCTAATCTATACAGATAATTGGCTGCTCTTTTCTAAACAGTTCTGCTTCTAATCCTGTTAACCATTTTTCAAATGTGGAAGTCAGAACTGTATTCACTGCTGCTAACCTAGATGTACTGCAGCTTTCTCTAGATGTTCAAATTTTGATGTCACTTTCCTACAGTTTTCCCTCAAATAAGACCTCCCCGGATAATAAGCCCAATCGAGCTTTTGAGCGCAAGCCTGAAATAAGCCCTCCCCAAAAATATTGCAACACAGCAGCAGCCATGAGATGACCACACTCGCCGCCTCCTGCACCTCAAAAATAATAAGACCTCCCTGAAAATAAGGCCAAGTGCTTATTCAGGGGTCAAAAGAAAATAAGATCCTGTCTTATTTTGGGGAAAACATGGTATAATGACCCAGAACATTTGCCTTTTTCATAGCTGCCACACGCTGAGTTGACATCTACAAGTTCCATTGCATGATCAGTTATAGACCAAGTGCCATCAGTGTATATAGGAAGTTAGTGGGATTTCCTCCATTAAACCTGAACTAACTTGAATGGATGTGCCATTTGGTTAACCATTCACCCATAAATGGTGACATGTTCTGGAGTTCTTTACAAATCCTTGTTCTTTACCACTTTAAAAGTTTAGCATTGCCTCCAAATGTGTCCATCCATTGCTTATCTCAGAGTCATGATTAAGATAAAAAGTTAACTTAATTAAGTTAAAAACTAATGGTTCCAATTCAAATCCTTGAGGGAGGGATTCCATTTCTTACCCTGTGACACTAAATAAAGGTTGGTGTATTCCTACTCTTCGTTTTCTCTTTAACTAATTAGCAACCCATAAATGGTCCTCTTAACCCATAGCCACTAAAGTTAAACAGAGCCTTTGATGAAGAATTGTTTCAAAGACTTTTTGAGAATCTAAATAAATAGTGTCAAGAGTCACCTCAATCATGTCCCAGTTGACACTTTATGAGGCTCTGCTGATCCCAGTTGTTTACTAGACATAAGTTAATCACCAATACGTGTCCCAGGATAATATTGCAGGATCCAATCTCAGTTGGTGAGAAAGAAGTTCCTTGAGGATGGCCTCCGGCATCGGTCTGGAAGCTCGGAAGACAAAACCTCTGGTCCCAATGACTGACCCAGATTGTCTCCTGCAATAAGTTAAAGTGATGATATGACTTTTTAAAGCCGTAAATAAAAGTAAGATTCACCTACCTGCCCAACCTTATTCAGCCAGTTAGTTCTTCAGTAGAGTGTCTGCCTTCTGAAGATCTTAATGCAGTCAAGAGACCTTCTCCAGTGTCACTGCCAAACTATGGAGTGCATTTTTCTTGCATACACTCTTGGTGTCCACAAATTCCATGAAGGTTGACTATGTAGACACCATCAAAACATGCCACAAAGGCTGATTGACTGAACAGATATTAAAACCAGGTTTCTCTGGGAAACAGACACAAAAAGGGAATAATCTTGCTATTTTAAATGTGGAAGTGGAAGTAATTGCACGTTTATGCATATAAAGCATTAACATTTAACAGCATCTTTAGAAGGACAGGAGAGAAGCAGTACAAATGGAAAGATTTGGAGGAACTGAACAAAACTAGTTGGCCAATGTAGATAGAGGTCAGCATTTTTTAGCAATTAGTACCTATTATTTACAGTTTTATTACCCTCTTACTTCTACCAGTACAATGAATTTCTGATGTAGAAAAGGGTAGTGTTAAGAATTGGGCTTAGAGGAGCTACTTCTTGCTGTAATGTAGCAGCTCCAACTTAAGGGAACTGGAAAGAAATCAAAACACTCTATTTTCCTAGGCTGGTATATTTTTCCACATGGGCGTTTTGGAAGAACACTTAGGCAAGACTTACAAATAGACTTCCTTGCTGAGTGGGAGGTATAATTCAGGTTTCTTCTGGAATGAATGATCTAGCTATGAACTGCAAATACTTCCTGTCCTAGGCTTTAAGCTTCCAGAAGCTCCAGTGTTGTTCTGACTGATACTAACTCATAAGCCAGGGAGAAAACCGGCAGAAAGTATTTTTGGAAATCTTTAGGCATTACCTGTGTTATCAGTTCACCTGAGTCCCTTGTCTACCTTCAGGCTTTGATTGAATCTACCGAAGAGCCTGACGTTCTTGCCCGAGAGCCAAACGTGCGCATGATTGCACTCTACGACAACGAAGAGGTGAGTGATAAGCTCTTTTTCTGGATAGGAAGTTGAACATCCTATTCTGATATGAAGGAATACTTAACATGGTTAAATCTAATAGGGTTGGGAGATTTTTTTTTAAAGCACACTTTAAACCACTTGACATTCAAAAATGATAAGAGGCCCTAACTGGTACTATGAGGAAACGAGTGGGACCAAAAATCTCGGCCAGGAGGTGGGCCTCATTTAAGGAATGAAATTAGTTTAAGAGACACTCAGATTGTTCTGATTTAGAGGAAGAGCATTTCCTACCCTGATCTGAAGGAATACTTAACATGGTTAAATCTAATAGACAACATAGGTTGGGAGATTTTTTTTTAGCATACTTTAAACCCCTTGACGTCCAAAAATGATAAAGAGGCTCTAGCTGGAGATGCTGTGAGGTAACTAGAGTGCAACCAAATTTTTTAGCCTGGGGTGGGGTTCATTTAAGGAATGGAATGAGTTTAAGTCTCATCTCTTAAGCCACTCCCAATGGCTCTTAAGCCATTGCCCTGATTTAGAGGAGGGGGGCATTTAAAAAAGAGTTCTGACCCCCAAAAGAAGATTTAAAAGGAGGATGTCAGAAAAGCGTGCCGAAGAGTTCCATGTTGCCTACAATAATTTATCAATCACTCGGTAGTGGGATTATGGACAAAATAAACTATAGATAAGAAGCAGTAAGGGGCTTCTGAAACTGATGTCCAAATTGGGATGGCAATTAAAATTCCGTTAGCATCAAAACGCTTCTCGATAGTTCACCTTTTGACTGCCATCTTCCCGGTAGGTTGGTTCAGAAAGTGCTCAAGGCGCTGCATCGCTCCTCACGGAGCTCATCCTTCGTCGCATCTCCGCTTCGCCCCAGAACATCACGGCCTTTGAGGAAGCGGTGCCCAAATCGTGCATGATCAGTGCAGATATGGCTCATGCGGTGCACCCCAATTATGCGTGAGTATGTTGTCAATGGACAGCGTGAGACAGTGTACCAGTGCTGGGCAAGCATGTCATTCAGTATTGGACATTCTTGCAGATATATTTCATCACAAGGAAGCAGCTGCTTTCAATGAACTTACTGTCAGGTTCCGCTGTAAAAGTGATGAGGGGAAAACCCCCACAGAACCACAGTTCTGAATTGAGTATTTTTTATCTCCCTCACAAGCACTGGCACGAACTGACATCCATTAACAGGCAATTCAAAGTCAGGACTAACCTTCAAGTAACTGTCCCACCTTTTTAAGCTGTTCCCTAGCTTCGCCCGCCCTCTAGTCTTCCCTAAGCCGAGTCAGTAGCCATTTAGCAGGGAAGACAGCAGAGTTCCATCATCAGCCACACTCAGTTCACATGCCCACAATCTTCCATTTGGGCTTCAGCCGCTTGGCCACCCATCAGCTCTTCTGTGTTGATGTCAGCAGTGGCGACAGGTCTGGTGTGGGCTCTGCGGTTTGGTGGGTTTAGCATCGCGGTAGCCATGTCCCTCCGTAAAAGGCAATCTCTGCTTCTCAGTTCCTCACCGAAATGGCAGCCCTGGGTTGCCAGGCACACCGGGGCTGACACTTACTTTACATGTGTTACCCCCAATTCCATCCTTTGGATTGTACGAATCTTAACAGGGTTAAGAAATCTCCCTATTGCTTTGGGATTTCAGGTAGTCTTTGACTGACAATGATTCACTTAGTGACTGTTCAGAGTTACAACAACACTGGAGAAAGTGGCTTACAACCGTTTTTCACGCTTATGATCGTTGCACCATTCCCATGGTCATGTGATTTACAGTCGGCTGATTGACAACTGACTCACATTTATAATGGTTGCGGTGTCCCAGGGTCATGGGATCACCTTTTGCAACCTTCTGACAGTAATGGGGAAGTCCGGTTCACTTAACAACCATGTTGCTAACTTAAGAAGTGCAGCAATTCGCTTAGCAGATAGGGCAAGAAAAATTGTAAAATGGGGCAAAACTCAGTTAACAAATGTCTCACTTATCAACATAAATTTGGGCTCAATTGTGATCATAGGTTGAAGACTACCTGTACTTGTAAATCACAGAGGTTCGACGACTGACAGTCCTCTCCAAATTATGAATGATTTCCCACTAGATATGTATGCGTGTATTTAATATCTATAGTCACCCATATATCTTAAACAAGTAACTCTGGGCAGCAACCCATGATAGAGCCGAGGTGGCGCAGTGGTTAGAGTGCTGTACTGCAGCCACTTCAGCTGACTGTTACCTGCAGTTCAGCGGTTCAAATCTCACTGGCTCAAGGTTGACTCAGCCTTCCATCCTTCCGAGGTGGGTGAAATGAGGACCCAGACTGTGGGGGCGATATGCTGACTCTGTAAACCGCTTAGAGAGGGCTGAAAGCCCTATGAAGCGGTATATAAGTCTAACTGCTATTGCTATTGCTATAAAACAAAAACATTACGAATATCATTCAAAAATAAATATATATGGCAAGAAATGGCTGAGAAAAAAATGTCATCATAAATGTCATATCCAGGAAACAGGGCCCTGAACACACTAAAGGGCCCAGGCACAAAACCAGGTCTTCAATTCCTTATGAAAGGCTAACAGAGTTGTGGGTAGTGGGGTCATTCTCAGCTCTGAGGGGAGAACGTTCCAGAGGGCAGAGGCTACCACAGAGAAGGCACATTTAGTCCTTCCCAGCTGATCTTCCTTGGCTGATGGAACCCACAGCATATCCAGCTTATTGGACCAAATTGGATGCGTAGAAATCGTTAATTTTCCTCCTGGACTTTGGGTCTCGCTGAAAGTTGCTAACTCTTTAGAATGGATTAGAGGTGGTGTTCTACCGATTCGGGGCGGTTCGCCTGAACCGGTAGTGGAAATCGTGGGTTGCCCTGCCCCGGCTCTACGGCATCCCATTTAGGCCCTTTTTTCACCAAAAGCGCATGCGCATAAGGCTGAGCATGCACGCTCACATTTGCGAACCGGTAGGGAAGGTATATGATTGCCACCCCTGGAACGGATCTATTTACTTATTTTGTAAAGGACTGAGCCAGGATTTGGAGCAGAATCACAAGCAAACCATCTTTCTTCCAGAGCCTTAAAGTTGCCAGAAAGGGTACAGGTAGCCCTTTCCTTATGACAATAAAGGACCCCAGAATTTCCATCACACCAGTCATAAGTGAAGGCACAAAAGTGACCAATTTTTATGACCTTTTTTTGTAGCTGCCATTAAACAGGTGCAGCACTTATAAAGCAAATGCAGCACTTGTAAAGCAAACCCGGGTGATACAGTAAGTGGAGGCTCTGCCGTAACTTCAGACTGTCACTAAGCAACCAGTCATTAAATGAGAACTGCCTGTATGATGAAAATCACATGAATATGCAAGTGGGTCTATGCAGCCCTACATGCCTTGTGCTTTCTAAGCTTGAAACCTGTTTCAGAACTGGTGCTGAAATGGCCTCCTTCATCCTCTTGCTGATGTGCTACAGAATAAAGTAATTTTATTCTAATCATTTGAAGCACTCCTCTCTCTCCAGGCCAGACGTTCTGTTCTAATGAGGGATCTGCACAGAGGCTTCTTCACTGCCTCTGTCAAAAGGGCTATCTGTCTCATCTATTAAAAATGGCTTGAATGCATTACAGCGACAGCACCTCTTTCCTTTGGTCCTCTGATCTTTGAAATTCAGGCACAAGGGGGAAGCATGCTTATTGAAGGCTGTTTTTTTTTCCCCCCCCTCCCGCAGGGACAAGCATGATAAGAACCATCGGCCACAGTTTCACAAGGTAGGCAATATGGACTGGTTGGCCGCAGCATGGCTTTGAAAGCCAGGCGTCTCAGCGAGCCGCACAGGAACAACTCTCTGAGGGGCAGATGTCAAATGCAAAACCCGTTCTTGAAATGGAGATTTCTTTTTTCTTATTTGAGAGCCAGCTGTGGGAGTGCCCAAAACAATGCTCACAGTTTTGAATAGATTCAGGATTGGGGAGGGCTCAGGAGATAAAACTCCATATGGCAGATGACTTGTGGAAAAGCACTTTCTGGAGATTATGCTGTTGTTTTGGTGGCCTAGATATGGGAAAGTATGCTAAAGGTAATTATTTTGATTATTGGAAGATATTTCTTCCTTCTTGTTGAGCGCAAACAGGACAAAGCAGTTGTGCTTCGCCCAGATGAAGAGACGGGGGAGAGTTGGAGAGAAGCACACAGATAGGAAGAAAAACTCTCTTTTTATAGATTCTGTATCTTGAGTCAGTAAATTATTTATGTGGAAGAGATGTATCATTTTAAGAGTTCGGAGTCTGGTGGGAAGCAGCACAAGTCGAGCCCTTCCTGTTAGGATGGAACAATTGCACATCTCATGAAAATCCAGGCAGAATTAACAAAGAACAAATTTTCAGAGTGGAGAACCTTTTCTTCAGTCTGGTGATTTTCTATACAGGGACCTGCTCTGAAAATAAACAGCAACCAACGCTATGCCTCCACTGCTGTCACAGAGGCATTGATTCGTGAGATTGCCACTCGTGTCAATGTCCCTCTACAAGTAAGTGTTTTGAAAAGTAAAGATTCCCTTTATCCATGCACTTTCTTTGGAAACACAATGGGGGCGGATCTCTGGTACAGCCCAGTGTTTTCTGTCCAAGTACTAAGCAGACCTGACCAGAGGTGGTATTCAGCAGGTTCTGACCAGTTCTGTAGAACCGGTAGCAGAAATTTTGAGTAAATACCACCTCTGACTGGCCTCGCCCCCATCTATTCTTTTGAGTCCCAGCTGATCGGGAGGAAATGGGGATTTTGCAGTAACCTTCCCGTGGAGTGGGAAGGATGGAATGGGTATTTTACAGTATCCTTCCCCTGCCATGCCTACCAACCCAGGCCCACAGAACCGGTAGTAAAAAAAAAAAAGAATCCTACCACTGGACCCGATCCTACTTCATTTCCAAGCTTAAGAAAGATGGACTGCATGCTACCAATGCTGCATGGTGCTTCCACTATTAGGAACTGGCACTACACTACATCACTGGGTATCACTCCACTGGGAGCAAATCATCCTACCTGCTAGGAACAGGGGAAATAAGACCATGGATACTGGGGCTTTCTAGTGAAATGCTAAATGAAGGGCTTCTCCCTCTTGAAGATGTTCCCTTCTCCATTTTCACTTGGTGGTTCAGTCCACGTTAGAAACTTCAACTTGATTGTTGGATTGGACTGGCCAATGCCAAGGATCTAAGAACCCCAGCGATATCTATTCGAAAGATTCAGTTCCATATCCTGCCCCCTCCCCCCTCTCCTTCATTGCTATCAAAGAGATTCTCAGCAGTCGGGTCCTTTTTTTTTTCTTCTTTCTTTCTCATGTCGGTTGCAGGAATTTATGGTTCGAAATGATTCTCCTTGTGGCACAACCATTGGACCCATCCTGGCTTCCCACCTTGGTTTACGTGTTCTTGATATGGGTTGCCCACAATTAGCTATGCACTCCATTCGTGAGATGTGCTGCACCTCAGGGGTCCTTCAGACCATCACTCTCTTCAAGGTAGGGGATGGCTTGGGTGCTTCTGCCCTGGAAACGGGGCTGAAGATGGCATCGCAAAGCCATAGCCTGCCTCTTTTTCCTTCTGCCCTGCACCTCCCAGTGAAGATTAGTTGGGCTAAGCAAATATACCTAGGTGGCTAGCAAAGCCCTTTTGCAGATAAGCACCCTTGCAACCAGGAGTAGCAGATTTGGAGGAGTGAAAGGAAAGAAACAAATGGGGTTTTTTTTGGGGTGGGGGGTGGGGGGAGATAGGAATAGGTCCTAATTTCTGCCTTCCTCCACTCCCAGTTGCTGGGTTGAGGTTTGGGCTTTGGTTCTTGCAACTCTCTAATTCTTCTTTGTAATCTTGTCTTCATGTTGCCATGGCTACAATGGTGGCCTTGAATCAGTGATGGGTTTCCATGGTAACACTGTGCCTCACGATTCTCTGGCTGCCATGGTGATGCCATTGTGTGTATTGACAGCTGCCTGCTTTTTTTTTCCCTTTGAGAGCCTTTCTCTGCATCCCCTCTGACCCTGACTTCTCTCTTTTCTCCTTCCCAGGGCTTCTTCAATTTGTTTCCCACCTTGGATCAGGCACTTCTGAGCAGCTGATGGGCAGCCTGAATGCTGAAAGAGGCTCTCCCTTTTCCTTAGGCTGGATAATAATTAAAGCAGCTTTAATCCAGTGACCTCTGTGCAGTTCAGAGGCTTGCTGAGTTTTGATTTGTTTTTCTGCCTCGCCTCAGAACAGAAATTACCTCTTAGGCATATTTACATTATTATGGCTGAGCCCGAGAGGCATAAAATAACCTTTGAACCCCCCCTTTTTTTTCCTTTCTGTCAACAGTAAGATGGTGAAATTTAAATACTGGCCCCTGGAATAAGATTAATATTTCAAGTGGGAAGTAAAATTACAGATGACATTCTGGTGTTGGTAAATGCCAAATGATGCAGACCTCCGTTTCTCCTTCCACTCCCACATCCCCTGCTTGCACAGGCTGTATGAAATTAGCAAGGCGATGCTAGCTCATCGAGTAACATACAAAGGTCACGTATGCAGAACTGCTCCGCATAGATTACGTTCTTAGAGGACCTTTATAAGTATGCAATCACATCATAATGGGAGAGTGGGGGCCGTTGCATGTTGTACCTCTTTGCATATCTAAAAGATTTTAAAATATTGCTGTGTGGGGAAAAGAGCAATCCAGAGTCACAAACCTGGATGTTACTAGGAGAACTAGTGCTGCAAAGATGCTAGCAGAACATTTCCTCCCACTATCGCCGTATTCTATTCATCAGCCATCACAGATGAGCGTTCCCTACCCTGATACCCTCGAGGTGTGTTGATCCTTCGTTCTCTAGCCAGCAAAGTTGCAGGTTTTGCTGACAATTCAGTGGTACCACAATCAGTTTATAATTGGTCTTTGTGAACAAAATGACCTGTAGAAGATACTGAGTGGCATACAAGATTGAAATAAAATTGCTATGACCTTTCAGGTTTTTTCTCCCCCCCCCCCCCATTAAGAGTAAAAAGACAATATTGTAGGCACTACCGTACGTTTTTACTTAGATGAGTTTCTCTACTTTCACAAACATTTATTATTAAATTATATACTGCCCATCTCATTGTTTTGGGCAGCTCTGGGCAGCTGTTAATAGCAATTTATAAATTATTTCAGATTAGGACCATTAGACCTCACAGCCACAAGAATAAATGATAAGTGAGTTACTCCAAACACACACAGTACTGCATATTAATTCTTCAGGATATATGAGATTTTTTTTACAGCTGCTGTTCTGTTGCCTTTCAAAGCGAAATCAAATTGATTTTAAGGAACCCTGCTTCTATAGTTGCCTATCAAATTCTTAGAATCACAGAGATGGTGGCAGTCTAGTCCCAATGACTGATTGTCCTCTGCAATTGATTCCACTGTTAGAAGCTTCTCCTGGAGTTAGAATAAGTTTCCTAAGATTTATTTGGAATTTGTCGTCTTACTTCAGGATTGAATAGATGGGAAAAAATTCTCAGTGGTTGAAATTTCAGTTGGCAGGAAGCCAAACGGCATTCCTGGGCAATGTCACATTTTGTTTGCTACCATTTTCTTAAGTGTGTTTAAATGAGAAGTTGGGTGCTTTTTAGAGACATCTGGAATTGGGTTATCATCCAACCTAATTTGAGGGTATGGCAAAACAGACCTAGAGAAGTGACAATAGCTTTGTTCTAGTCCCATAGAAGGTAGATCATCTGAAAATAAGAAAATATCCCTCCAGTTCCTCTGAATCACTAAATTAACTAGTGAAATAAGCCCCGCTGTATTGAATGGATACAGAAGCAGTTTAAAAAGGAAGCAGATTCATAAAAGAATTCCCATCAAGGGCAAAATGCTAAAAAAAACAAACCTATCCTTGCATTTCAACATCCTTGAAGAATATTTAGATGGGTTACCTTAAACCTAATGCACTTAACTATTATAGATGCTGCTGGAAGCAGAGTCTGAATGACGCTTGAGCCGAGACTGGCTAGGCTATTGTGTCGGCTTCTCTGTTAAATTAATAAGGGGACTACACTTGATTCTTGCTCTTTCGTTTGAACTAAAAAAGAAAAGTGCAGTAATAAGTACCATAAGTGTACATCCTTACTGTTTCTTTGAGGATAGGGTGCATCCTTTTTCTATGTCCCTTATATTTTAAAACTACCTCCTTTGGGGCTGGAGAAAGCCAGCTGTACTACAGACACACTATCTTAGAAGTGTCATGAAAGTCATCCCTTTATGATTTCGGGTTTTTTTTTTTTTAAGGTAATTGCACTGCAAATGAAGACCCATGAAGCCATAGTTGAGTACTGCTGGCTTTCTGCTTTACTATTGTAGTGAATCATTAGCATTTATTGAGACAGAATGTAAATAGGTGGAACCATGTTTCCAGATGCGATTTAGTTACCACAGAGATGTCCTCTCCAAGAAATGATGGTATGGGTTACAGTTTTGCTTTTGCTTTATGAAGGTATCAGGACTTCTTTACAAGATTTGAGGAAAAGAAATGAGATAATGCTGCTCTGGGCTTGCCAGTTTTAGGGCCTAAGACCAAGACTTTCACCCCTCTAGCTGTGGGCCATGTGAGAAACAGTAGATAGTTGTCAACCTTCAGGCTGCATAAGCTTAGGAGACCTTCAGGTTTGTAAGAGGTATAGTACATTGAAGCTTCAAATGAGCCAAACCTAGGCTATGCTTAATGCCTGCCTGCAGGAGGTATAATTTACCATCTTCCCTGCATTGTGATTGATGCAGGGCTGAAACATGATTAACCAGAAGGGCGTCGACTTAAAATGGTAATGCAATTGATTGGAGGAGGCATTGGCAGGACTTGGAAACGCACCAGGTATAAAAGCAGGTGGGAGAGGTGAGGCTTCATTTTATTTATTTATTTTTAATTCGTAGGCGTAACCCTAAAAGTCGGGCGTGGCCAGAGATAGTTAAGCCCCGCGTTTCGAATTCAGGCGTGTCCTTTTCCTGGGCTGCGATAGGCTGATGGGGCCGAGAATCCATTTTGCATGGGTCTCGAGATTGGTCGGCTGGCGGGGCGGTGCCGTGCCAGTGTTGGTCTGGAGGGGGCGCTGAGTAGGGATGGTGCTGCGGCCGTGGAAGTGGCGGCTGCCCGGGCTGTGAGCTGGGGCAGCGACCGGCATGGGGCGGTGGCGGAGTCTGCTTCGGGCACTGTACGGTTTCTGCCTTCCTCTGCTGCTGCTGTTGCCGCCTCCGTTCTTGGCGGTCGGCGCTGCTGGAGATCGCCCGCTGCAAGCGCTGCACGGTGAGAACTGAAGACGAGGATGCGATTTGGAAAAGAGCTGCCGGGAGGGAGAGGGAAGATGCCAAAAAAAGGACACCGGGTAGACTTGGTTGGGATGCTCGGAGCTGGAATGGGTAGGGCGAATCGTGCCCCCTCCCCCGGGTTCTCTACAGGCGCCTGGTCAGCGTCTCCGCTTTTTGCCCTTTCTAGCGACCAGCCATAGCGCCTTTGCTTCCATATGGTTGGATGGAGTTGCACGCCCTTCTCTATTCCACGCCGGACAGAGGTGATTTTCTCCCCCCTCTCCCTCTATCTGCGTCCCCAGAATAAACTTGGGGGTGGGGGTGGGGGGTGGATTAGGGAAGCGTCTTTTTGCTGAGTGGGATTGAAAAGGGTGCCTTTGAGCGCCAAAGATGGTGGGGATTTGGGGAAAAGGGGGTTCACTGGGCAGAAGGGCGGGGAAGGCTTCTACCGCTCCCCTTTTCTGCAGGCTGCTGCTTTTCCTGGAAGCGGCGGCAAACGGGCACCTTCCTTCTATTTTTTTTTTTTTAAAGAGCACCCGTCAGAAGATCCGGCACCAGCTCCTTAAAAACGGAACCGAACCATTTCTCCGGTCTCCACCCCTTTTCCATCTTGTTTTGCCCCTGAGAATATTGGGGTGTTTTTTTTCTCCCCCGCTAGCCGAGTTAGCACCGCGCAGCTTCCTCCCCCCCCTTTCCTTTCTTGCATCTCCCCTCCCCTCTCCTTTTTTTTTTTTTGCTGTTGCATAGGCAAGCCTCTTTCCCCCTCCCCTCCGCTTTTGGGGCGAGTTTTCCCCAAGTGCGGATTCGGCCCCCCTCCCTTCAAAAGGCATATTGTCACCATTTTGCGTGGCTGCTTGTCATTTTCGCGTCACGGCGTTGTCAGGTTGGGCTAGCTGCGTGTCTCCCACGGCCCCCTCCACGCACAGCTTTCTATATTCATTTACAGAGCGGATCCCTCCGAGCGCCCCCCCCCCAATACGCCGTGTTTTCCTGCTCAGTCAATTCACTGACGTCATTCTCGATGGTCTCTTCATCCCCCTCCACTTTTCCATCCTGACCCGGCTGCCTGTTGCAAATATCAGCTGTCCTAGCTTCCTTCCTCCCTCCCTCCCTTTCTCTCTGGCTGCTGCTGCTGGAGATCCGCTCAATTGTTGTTGAGAGGGAATTCCTGTTTGGAATTAGTTCTGCATCTCTTCCCTTTCTCACTGATGCCAGAGTGCCTATGAAACATTGAAGGATTTTGACATTGGCACTTTACCATGTCTGGTTGTTCATCTTTGCTACCTTGTAGCTGCCCTGTAGAACCTTTGGTGAGGTTGGTGTAGGCAGATCCATGCTCTTTGGCTTAGAATTGTTCAGTTTGGGGCACTCCAGGGATTTTGTAATACCAGCTGTGATGAGCCCCAGCCAGGGTAGACAATGGTAAGGGTTGTGGGAGCTGTAGTCCAAAATATTTGAAAATACCAAGTTGCCCTACCCTTGCCTTGGAACTACTGTGATTGAAGAGCCATGGATGAACCATTATACACTATAAAACTGGTACAGACGACAGATAAAACATCATTTCAAAAATCTTTTTGATTATGAATTCAGTTTTAGAATTAGCAAGAGGGTGAGGTTTTGTCTACCAAGGAAGAAAATGTTAGCTGATGGGCCCAATCTACCACATCACATTCAGGAAGGATGTACTAAATCACATATACGTAACTCTAAAGTCCTACTTTGATGCTAAGTACATTCCTTTTTGAAGAACATTATATTGGAAACAGTGTATTGATGAAGAAAAATGTTGAAAAGAAAATACTTTTCTTTCCACAGCATCTTATGAAACAGATTCCAATGGAGTCTTACAGAAGTGTTTGCTGGCATATGAGAAACAAAAGGGACAGGCTTCTAAAAATAAAATATACAAGGGCTGAAATTCATCATTAATATAAATATTGACTACGTAGATCTCGTGGGAAGATTGGGATCCCATTTGGTCTCTTCTCTTCCATAAATCGAGAAATTTAACTATCAGCTTGGATATAATACAGCAGGGTGGGTGATTGTGTATGGCTATATTTTCTACAGAGAAACTGACCTATGCTTCCATCCAAACTCTCTCCTCTTGCAGAAATAATGATCTTCTTTTTGATGTTGATAAAACAGCCAATGCCTGGATTGGAGAGTGATGACAGGAATAAGAAGTGGGCATTATTATTTCTTTGCTTTTGGCAGATTGGTCGATGTTCTTGCCCGATGAGTGCAGTAATAATGTCAATAACAAAAAAATTAGTAATACTGATAATGAACCTTCATGGTTGATCACAGTCTTATTCTGCATACCTTTATTGAGCCAAAAATAAAAAAGGAAGATATTATAAATGAGAGAACAGCATACATGTGTCAGATTCATACCTTTTATTCTTGTTGAAAGATTTATGGTCAACATTCATATTATTCTAGCTTAAGATAGCTGAGAAACTTTATTTTTCTAAATATTATTTCATACTTTCCCAAAGAGTGTAAACATCCTTTTACTGTCCTTAGGCCAGGTCTCTTACTAAGTAATTTTTTTGGAATGGCTCATTGACAAAACTTTGATGTTAATTTTTTGTGGCATTATTATTTTTTAACCAAGCCAGTTACATCTGACAACTGCATTCTACACAGAATGATTTTGGCAAAAATAATAATTGGAAGTAGCTTGTTAAGTAGTTAATTGCTGTGGTTTCTGTATAACTACTAGATGAACAGAATAATCCATAGAGTATCAACCTTGGTACCCATGTAAGAGAGAACCCTGAACCTCAGTATGCTTAATTGAGTAACCCAGACCTGAATAGTATATTACATAGTAGATCATCAGATCATCAATTACATTCACTGGTGATGTAGAGGAACAAGAAGTCATTTTTAAACAGCTCTAATGATATTGTGGTATAGTATGAGCTACAGCAGCCACAGTTAATGAGATGAAATAATACGGGTCATTATTAAAAAAACATTTGAGATTCCAAAAATGGAAGAGTTGCTTTCCCTCTTTTCTACTATGACTAATTCTTGAACAAGTGTTTTTCCTTGGTGCTTTAATGAAACATTGCTAAATACCATCATGGCCTTTAACATTTTGACTACAAGCCATATTTTTTCCCCAGTCCATTGGCTGAAATTATGTAAATGCCACACATACATATTCACAAACATGCTATTGTGTTTACATGTTATTGCCACTAAGGAATATGAGCATTAATATACATATCAACAGCAGGTTGACTATAATATTATGTTGCTACATCCTTGCCTTGCTTTGATTTCCATTCCATTTCAGTGGATTGTGTCTCTGGCAAAAAGTCTAGATTTAAAACAGGAAATTCTTCCTACTTTTTAAGCACATAAGGTTTTAGCAAAATGCCTAAATAGAAGAGATCCGGTGAAGGATTTCCTAAAGTAGCTTACAACACAGAAAGATAGGGCTCAAGATGGAGTCCCCTAATCGGCAATCCATGGCTTTTGGAGCCTTGAAACTTTTGGAGCCTTGCTGCATATAAATATTTTCATTAGTGATTTAAGAGACTCCAAGCAATCTAAAAGAAATGGGGGGCACATTTAACAGGAGTTCTTGCAATATACCAATTCTCAGCTTTGTATACATGGGGCTTTTTTCCTCTAGCCCTGAGTTTTCCCTGTGTCAGTAGATATCAGTCTTTGGAGAGAGGAAACCCAAGCTTTGTTATGAGATCCTACATGGATTGGGGTAAGCAAAAATGAAGAGGATGTTCTTCCCAAATGAACTGGGTCCAGTTATCCCATGTTTAGTTTTTTGACTTGAGAAATTTGGACTTCTTTCCATCATTCATTTTTTTTTAGGAAACCTTTTTCTAATAGCTCGCTCCTTCCTTCCTTCCTTCCTTCCTTCCTTCCTTCCTTCCTTCCTTCCTTCCTTCTAATATGGGCCAACTGTCTAGTCAGGCTGATCAAATTAATTCAAGATGTTAATTTTTTTAAAAAAATGGCAATATACAGCTTCATTTTTTAAAGTATAAACAGGATCCACAAAGCACAGTCTTGATTGGTGGAAAGCTTTTGTATGTTTTTAACATGATCATGGTTATTCCCTGCGGGAATTTGGGGATACCAAAAAATAGTATATACCAGTTCCGACTTGTTTGAATTTTGCTTCAGGCACTTGGAATTCCAAGAGAAAATTTATGGCACAATTGAAATTAGTGAATAAACAGGAAATTTGGGGAAAGATGAAAAATACAGGACTGATGCTACATGAAACTTGGAGCCTGTTTTGATAGAAGTGCAATATTTATACTTGCTTTATAATACTGGAACATCATTGTCTTTTTGCCTTATTTCACAACTGAAAACAGCCTGATCAATTGGCAGATGAAAATAATGGGGGTTAATTGGAATAAAGCTCTATTTTGATAGAACTCCTGCTATTTTACCAACCCTGGAGAGAGGTTTCCTTCCTTAAATGAAGCATGTGGGACCACCCAACATTAGAGATGCTCCTACACTTGGTCAGAGAGAACTGGCATGCAGCTCAGGACTCTGTGTGTGTGTGAGAGAGAGAGAGACACAGAGACAGGGAGACAAAGAGGTAGACTCTTGCTCCCACTCAAATAATAACTGTCACCCACAGGAAGGGGGGCTTTTGCATAAATCAATTTTGTGCACCAATTGCACCTACTCCTGAATTTGGAAGCCTAACTAATCACTCAGGCCTTAATCATCTCTCATTTGGATTATTGCAATGCACTCTGTCTGGGAGTACATTTTAACACCACTTGAAAGCTGTAGGTGGTGCAGAATGTAGCAGCGCAGTTATGGACATGCCTTGATGCTCATATCCTCCACTGGTTGTCAGTTGGCTTCCAAGAATATTTCAGGATGCTAATGGTCAACTACGCAGCCTTTTGTGGCAGAGGGACTTGGTGTTTATGGAACTGCAGAGCTCCAATGTCTCCGTCCATCCTATAAGATCTAGGGTTGGCATGCTCT